GGAGTAGTAGGAGTAGTAGGAGTAGTAGGAGTAGTAGGAGTAGTAGGGGTAGTAGGGGTAGTAGGAGTAGTAGGAGTAGTAGGAGTAGTAGGAGTAGTAGGAGTGGTAGGTAGGTAGGTAGGCAGGTAGGTAGGTAGGTGGGTAGGCGGGTGGGTGGGTGGGTGGGTGGGTAGGTAGGTAGGTAGGTGTAGTAGGTAGGTGTAGTAATAATTAATAGTAGTAGTAGAAGTAGTAGTAGTAGTAGTGGTAAGTAGTAAGTAGTAGTAAGTAGTATGTAGTAAGTAGTAAGTAGTTCGCAGTTCGCAGTTCGCAGTTCGTAGTCGTAGTCGTCGTCGTCGTCGTCGTAGTCGTAGTAGTAGTCGTAGTCGTAGTAGTAGTAGTAGTAGTAGTAGTAGTAAGTCGTAGTAGTAGTAGTAGTAGTAGTAGCAGTAGCAGTAGCAGTAGGAGTAGTAGTAGTGGTGGTAGTAGTGGTAGTAGTAGTAGTACTTGTAGTTGTAGTTGTAGTTGTAGTTGTAATTTGTAGTAGTTTGTACTAGTTAGTAGTAGTTGTTGTAGTCGTCGTCGTCGTCGTAGTCGTACTAGTCGTAGTAGTCGTAGTAGTCGTAGTAGTAGTAGTAGTGGTAGTGGTAGTGGTAGTGGTAGTGGTAGTGGTAGTGGTAGTGGTAGTAGTAGTAGTAGTAGTGGTGGTAGTAGTAGTAGTAGTTAGTAGTAGTTAGTAGTAGTTAGTAGTAGTTAGTAGTAGTTGGTAGTAGTTAGTAGTAGTTAGTAGAAGGTAGTAGTAGTTATTAGTCGTTAGTAGTCGTTATTAGTCGTTATTAGTAGTAGCAGTAGTAGTAGTAGTAGTAGTAGTAGTAGTTAGTAGTTAGTAGGTAGTAGGTAGTAGTTAGTAGTTAGTAGTTAATACTTAGTAGTTAGTAGATAGTAGGTAGTAGGTAGTCGGTAGTCGGTAGTAGGTAGTAGGTGGTAGTAGTAGTAGTAGTAGTGGTAGTAGTAGTAGAAGGAGTGGTAGTAGAAGTACTAGGTAGTAGGTAGTAGGTACAGGTAGTAGGTAGTAGGTAGTAGGTGGTGGGTAGTAGGTGGTAGGCAGGTGGTAGTAGGTAGTAGGTGTAGTAGTAGTAGTAGTAGTCGTCGTCGTCGTCGTCGTATTGGTAGTAGTAGTAGTAGTAGCAGTAGTAGTAGTAGTAGCAGGAGTAGTAGTAGTAGTAGTCGTAGTCGTAGTCGTAGTAGTAGTAGTAGTAGTAGTAGGAGTAGTAGTAGTAGTGGTAGTAGTGGTAGTAGCGGTCGTGGTTAGTAAGTAGTAGGTAGTAGAAGTAGTAAGTAGTATGTAGTTTGTCGTTACTACGACTACGACTGCTAGTGCTATCTAGTACCACTACTACTACTACCACCACTACTACCACTACTACCACTACTACCACTGCTACCACTACTACTGCTACTACTACCACTACCACCACTACTACTGCTACTACTACCACTACCACTACTACTACTACTACTACTACTACTACTCCTACTGCTCCTGCTACTGCTACTGCTACTACTACTACTACCTTGAGGACGACGCCGATGGCAACTTATTACAGTAAGCGCATGTAAGCGCATCATCGAGATGAAGGCGCGCTTGCGCTCAACGTGCGTGCATCGACTCGACTCTTGGCTCTTGGCCTTGCTCGCCCAGCTTAATTGCATGCGGATAGATCTTGGATAATTTGGAGGTGGAGCAAAGGAGCAATGTGTGCAGGGGTCCGCTCTGTTGGAATCAAGGCTGTTCGACGCCACGGCATCCCCCCACCAAGAGGTCTCATAGACCGACCCCGCTGCATTTAGAAGTCGCATCCTTACGGGCCAGATGGCGAACACACTCTTTCCGTCAGGTCCCAGTCA